GAATGAGAGATTTCTCGGCTTTTTTTTTTTTTTTTTTTTTTTTTTTTTTTGGTAGGGGAAGATGAGGAGGAGGGAGGTAGTCAGGTTTGTTTGTTTGTTTAATAGAGGGACTGGGGATTGACCCTAAGACCTCATGCATGCTAAACTCCGGCTCTACCACTGAGCTATACCCTCCCCTCTAATTTTTTTTTAAACCTAAAGCCTTCATTCCCCGCCCCTCCTTTGCATTTTGTGATGTCATACTGTTTTCATTAGCTCACCTGGAAGGGGTCAGATATTGCTTCTACTTGGGGCAATCTCGGAATGAGACAAGCTTTTCTGATCTTCTGTGGGCACTCACTGGACAGAGAACATACCCATTTTAAAAATTCATTCTTGCCACATCTGTTTATTGAGTAATCACTGTGGCCAGGAACTGTTCTAAGCAGAAATAAAACAAACAGAACTCCCATGAAGTACAGATTTTTAGCAAGGGAGTTAGACAATACACAGATAAACAAGTAAATATATAGTATGACAGTAAAAGGGAAATCACAAATCACGTTAGTGCGACTTCGCGCTAGGTGGTGCCATTTTCTCATTGATACATTGAATCAAGCTGACTTTGGCTTTTAGTCTCCTCTGCAAACACTGCTTAAACCCTATCAGTTGAATTCACACACTTTTTTTTTAACCTACAGAAACATAGACCCAGGAGTTTAGTGCATGCATGTTAGGGGTTACAGCACCTGCTGGAAGAATAGCTATTCTCTAGCTGGGAGCTTGAAAAAGTGCGGGCAGTGAAGGTGAGAGCGGGGAGTCTGAATAGTGGGGACAGTGATGAGGCTTTTTGTCCCCCCCCCCGCCCCCAAGCACCCAGCTCTGCCTATGACTGTGCGGCCACATGGGAGGGTCCCCCTGGCATCTGAATCCAGAAGAGCTGTGAAATTGTCAGTCCCTTGCCTGCCCAAGATCCTCCGGCCCACTCGACTCTTCTTACAGGGGCTGAGGTTGGGGGCAGCAGGGAGAAGTTCCCTTATGGGATTCACACCAGGCAGCCAGGCTTTGCAAGTACTTTTTGGCTTCAAGCAGCCACCAGCTCAGGCTTGACAAACGACGACTTTGGCTCATCTAAAGCTCTGTATTTTTATTTCTGATGTCATTCCCCTCCGTTTGGGAGAACTCTTGACTTGGCACCCACAGCCACAATGCCTTCATGGGGCTTACTCCCCCATTGTGACGGTAACACCCCGTCCCCCCCCCACCTCGTACCCTTAGGAGGGTGACCACAACCAAAGCAGCATTTGAGTGTCAATGGATGGGTAGGATGGGGGGTCCTGACGTCCCCCATTTGGGTGAGACCATTTGCTACAGTGTCTCAAGAAGTCTTTGCTTGTCTCCTAACCTTGCTGTGAGGGCCCTGGTCATTCCTCTCCCAGAAAGCCTATGGATATGAGCATGTGCTACACAGACTGAATGTTTGTGTCCTCCCCAAATTCCCATGTTGAAGCCCCACCCCTTCTCTCTTTTCCTCTCCCCTATTTTCTATTTCTGCATAGCTTTTTCCACCCCTCGATATTCTACTTATTTCTGTCCTTCTTTTGTGGTCTGTCTCCCTTCATTTGAAAGTAAGATCTAAGGGGGCGGGGAATTTTGTGGTTTTCTTCTCTGCTGTATCCCCTCGAATGGCTTTTTCTTATTTGATTTAACTTCCAAGGCAGGTACTAATTCTACCGTTATCTCAGTCTCCCATGCCGCGGACCTTCCCACTCTGGTCGGGGGCAGAATGGGGTTCAATTCCAGCAGTCTGGTTCCAAAGGCGTCGTCTCATTCACTGCTTCTGAACAGTGATAACGGCATTCCCATTTTGCAGGTGAGACATTCACTCATTTGCTGTAATCACAGAGGTGACAGACCCGGTCGGGGTTTCCTCGCTGATCATACTGTCACAAAACTTAGCACAGTAGTTAAATGACGCTCCCACGGCAGGCTCAGAGGGCCCCACTCCGAGAGACACAGCGGTCACACGGACCCAGACAGCGTCACATCACAGAGGCGCCCACCAAGCTGGTCTCCAAGGCGCAGCGGACCCCGTAACTAGGGACGCTGCCGGTCTCCAGGCGAGGGCGGGGGAGGGCGCATTCTACGCGCCTGCGCACACTGCCTCCCAGCCCCGCCCCGCCCCGCCCCGCTCCTGAAACCCAGGCCACGCCCCTCGAGCCTGGTTACGTACGTGCGCTGGCCCTAAAGTTCCGCCTACCACTCTCAGCAGCCTAAGGACACGCCCCTCTCGCTCGCGGACAACTCCTCCCGCCTCGGAGATTCCGCGCCTGCGCACTCGGCGTCCCGGCGTCGACTCTCGAAGGCGTTGGGGCGAGGGCGGCTGGCTTGCGGGGGAGGCCGGCGGGTTGTTCTGGGTCGTCGGGTGTGGAAGCCTCCGGGCGGGCAGGTGAGGCAGGAGGGCCGGGCGGCTCTGACCCGGGTGAGGGGCTGTGGGGCGGCTGGAGCGCGATGTGTGTGGGAGACACTGGTGCGTGAGTGCGCGAGGCTCCATCAGACCCGGGTGTGTGTGGTGTGTGGTGTGTGGTGTGTGGGGTGTGGGGGTGTGTGGTGGGTGTGGGGTGTGTGGTATGGGGTGTGTGTGGTGTGTGGGGTGTGGGGTGTGTGGTATGGGGTGTGTGTGGTGTGGGGGTGTGTGTGGTGGTGGGGTGTGGGTGTGTGTGGTAGTGGGGT